AAACAACCTAAGTGTGTGTGTATGTTTCTTTTAGACTGGAAATGAAAGCTAAGTCAACTGAGCTACAGAAACCAGAGGGAACCCAGTGTTATACTTTAACCAGTGTGTAAAGAAGACTCTTAGGCAATCGGCTATCTGGGACTTTCTCCCTGAGGGAATTTTGCTGCTCACCGAGTCGCTGCTGGGATGAAGCTTTATGGCCTCGTTGTCCTGGTAGCCATTCTCCTCAGTGAGCAGCATGGCCTCGCCTTTCAGAGGTAACGCCAGGGTCCTAGGTGGGGCTAGCTCCTTCTCGCTTCTTTACCTCTCACAGAGCAGAAGCAGGTTCCTGGGCTGGTGAGAAAAGGGTTACTGTGTGCAGGCCAGTTCTTTTGGAGACTTATCGTGATTTTGGGATGATAGGTTATCACTGGATTTGTTTTCATTTTCTGCTCTCATTTTTACCAGTATGATAAGTCTATTTAGTGACTGTAAAGATTAAATAAATAAATGGGGGGGGGGATCTTGATGAATTAGTGGTACCTTCACATATCACATGATTTATTATATTCTTCCTGTCTTAACACATAGATGCATCAACTAAACACATGTATTATTTATTTTCATCTTGTACATAGAGCAGAGGAGGGAAGAGAGAGTAGAAATATGAAACAGATCAGGATTGGGCAGTTATTGAGTATAGACTATGAAAGGAAGTTGAGTTACAATGGACATGTAGAGGATCTTAGCTATTTCTTCATTTGCTTAGTAGAGTGATTTCCTGAGGATATTTGACTGTAAACTGCTTAGGACACAAATGACTGCATGCTAGAGCATACATAATACATGGAGTAACAATGGCAGCATACATGTCCTGTTATAACTAACAAGTCAATTGCAAGCTTTAAAATTTATATTGTAATTTTGGAATCGTCTTACTTTTTCTTTGTTTTGCTTCTATAGCCCTTTTCTAATTGTCTTTGAGGTAGGTCCTTGTCTCCCCTTACTGAATCACAGTGAGAAAAGTTGAACATAGTATAGGTAGGGAAAATTCTACCCATAAAACCCTTTTCTGGGTCATCAAACCCATAGAACAATCAACCATTCCGGTAATATTGTATGTCTGAAGCTGTGTTTGTAGTAGCTGGTTGATTCTGTTTCGTTCAGTGTGATTGTCAAGTACCAAGCAGGAAATTCCATTGTGAAAGAGTGGTTGTTAATGGATTGATACAAGGATCAGAATTGCTAGGATAGTTGGTGGCTCATATGTCTATATTTTATGTATAGTCAAATAAGTATGATTTTAAGATCTTTGTTGGTTCTAATGTTCCATAACCTAGTGGTTGTCTTTTGTTAAAAGAAAGGTGGGTTGAAGTAGCAAATCTGAAAACACCATCTCCAAGTTGTTCATTGATTATGAGGGGAGAGGGAGGAAATCCATAGTTATTTAGGAGTGTGTGTGACTCATATACCAAGCAGTTAACCAACTAAGACTACATGGAAAATGTTTAGCACTTGTACATACCTGGAGGACCCACATGTGAGAGAGAGGAAAAGGAGCAGCCACATGGGAGACAGAAGCATGTCTGAGCTCTGGACGCTCACCCTTGCACTAAAAATAATATGACCCCCCCCTACCCCCGCCGCCGCCGCCTCCCCGCAATCTTTCTGAGCTTTGCTTTTTTCGGGAATAACCTATTACTACATCTGAAAGAGAAATCCAATTTCACTCAGAGCGACAGCCTTTGATAAGTCCTTATTTCTGGGGTTTAGAGTTTAGAACTTTCTGGAAAGCAGTAACCAGCTGGCATTTCCCTGAAGTCGTTCTTTGTTACTGTTTTCCTGTCGTGACCATTTTCCTAATAACGGCTTGTGTTCGAGCAGTCGCCTCATGGCTGATTTGTAAGTGCCTTTTGATAACTCTCATCAGTGAAATGCCCTGGAACCGTGACAACAAAACAGCTTTTTTTCAAGTCATAAATACCATATGCCAAAGAGGAAGACAGCTGAAGTCCACATTTGCATATTCAGTTGATTTGAAGAGGCCAGATACTAGAAATGGTAAAAATAAAATCCTAGCAAGACTCTTGTAAACAAAGTCATTAACTGTATTGTGCGATGATTATCTAAGTGAAGCAAGGCCATTGGAGAAAGGAGAAAGAGGAACATGGATGGAAAGAAAGAGAAAGGTTTAGAGAGGAAGGCATGGGCGGCATCATAGACCACAGCACGTATGACTTTTGTTGACGTCATGTTCTGGCTGGGTACCCGTATCAGTTATTCTCTTTCAGTTATCAGTTCCACTGATACATTATTTTCCTCTCAAGGTACAGGACACCAGTGGCCCCCAAACACTGCAAGGCATATAACAGCATCACCTCCTGGGACTGTCTCTCCATCTATTTATCTATCCATCTACCCAGCTATCATCTCTCTACCATCTATCTCTATCAGCTATCAATGTGTCTATCTATGTATCTCTAATCTCTATCATTTGTCTTTATCAGCTATCTATCCACCCATCCATTTATCTATCATCTCTCTATTTAACTATCTCCATTTGCTATCAATGTGTCTATCTACCTATCTACCTATGTACCTAGGTATCTATCATCTATCATTCACCCTCTGTGCTTATATTTTTCATTCCATTTTTAGTGTAAGTTTTTTCCCTCAAATATTTCTTGTGCAAATGCTGTAATTATGACTATAGAGATTCAACAAAATACACCTTTGTTTTTCATCTTTCATTGCCCCTGGGCATTCTGCATAGTAGGATTATTTTTTCTCACCGATGCACAGAAAGTCAGAAAATAAATCTCATGGTTTTTCAGCCCATTCTGAAGTAATTGACAGACCTTGGGTTATATTAAAATGCAAAGTGTCTCCATGCAGAAGTTAGAATACCATCTCCAGTGAAGGCACTGTTGAAAATTTTCAGTCTTTCTTGTTAAAAGAAAAATTTAAGGTTTATTCAGTGAATCTGTTAATTGAAGTGAAGAGAGCACCTTGCAAATTCCGCAGCTCTGGAAACCTGTTCAGAGGAGACCTTCCTGTTAGATACAGAACACGGGCATGCAGAGCGGGAGAGCGCGCTTTATGGACTGCCTGGGTGCTATTTCAGCTGGTCTAACCAGGAAGCAGCCTGTGACTGGCTCCACCTCAACCGCTATTTGAAGCTGGCGCAACCTCAGCCACTGAAACCGCAGAACCAAAACCAAACAAGACAACGCCTAAGTCAGACTTTTTGTTGGTTGGCTTGCATGGCTCAACCAATTTGCGTTCTGGTAGCCAGCTCTCTTGTAAGATTCTGTGGCACTTTTTTTGTGATTTATCTCACAGAGTAGAATTGTATCTGTTTCCAGCCCAGTTCCCCAAGAAGTAGACTCTGAGATGGAGACTGACATGCAGGGAGTTTCCTGGAAAGGGATGTCATCAAGATCTGTGGAGGAATGAGGGAAGAGAGTTTGGGGTGGGCATGGGGGTGTTGAACTGTGGTGTTGTCACCACAGATGTGCTGCTAAGATCGGCCACCACCACTCCTCCCTGTCCGCTGCCACACTGGTGCATTTTAAAATTTTCCCATCAGGGCTGGTGAGAAGGACGTTTCAGGTCCCTCCCCCGGTACACACACTGTGATCGCTTTTACCTTAGGAGCAGGGAACCATGTGGGGGTTATGCCAACTCCCAGTATGGTCATTGTGATTACACAATGGGGACTGAGGAAATCCTCACTAGATCTGTAGATCTAGTGCACCCACTTGGATTTGGAGCTAGTCTAGGGCACATGCCCAGAGTGGAATATCAGCGTAGACCCCGCAGCCCATAGCTGCAGACTCTCAGAGTGTTTTAGGATCTCCGTTGTGCAGTGCTCAGAGTAGCTGGAGTTAACTGCCACAGAACTCTTGTTTAAAGGAGTCAAGATCCCTTTAGACCAGTGGTTCCCAACCTTCCTAATGCTGAGACCCTTTAATACAGTTTCTCATGTTGTGGTGACCCCAATCATAAAATTATTTCATTATTACCTCACAACTGTAATTTTGCTTCTGCTATGAATCGTAATGTAAATATCTGATATGCGACCCCAGGGGGTTGCAACCCACAGGTTGAGAACTGCTGCTTTAGACATTTCTGATAGTGCCGGAGCTCTTTGGGGAGTATCTGAACCCTCCTTCTGGCAAGAAAGTCTAGGTGTAAGTAGAGACTCCAGTCTGGAAACTAGACCATGGATTATGACTTTCGGTTGTGGTTGCTCGTCTTCAGTCCCTCCCATTGCTTGTCTGTGACTTACTTTGATTGTAAAGATTGAGAAATAGTTTTATTGGCTAGTCACCCGTCCTGGCCCTGGGAATGTTGTGTTCTCTTCACCCCAGAGCTCCCTGAAGGTCATGTCTTTCTGGCTACTGCTCCAGCTTTGCTGCTCACTAGGGCAACTGTGCCCAGCTTGTAACCGATATGTGAGCCGAGCCATCCGGAACCAACAATTGAGGGGTCTCGTCAGCTCTGTTGCTATCAGGAAAATCCACCCTGTGGCAGAAGGTCCTACACTGGCCCTCTGAATCTACTGCTCTTCCTTGTCAGACTTCCAGGACAGTCAGAAGGGTTAAAGTCATAGCATAGCCTGGCAGTGCAAATGCTGGGCATGACAGTGAAGGAAAGAACAGTTCCCTGGAGGAAATCCACGCTCATGGATTTGACATTCTAGTTAGGTCCGTGGAGAGGGTCCTGACACACTGCTAGGATGGGTTTAAGTCCTTGGAGAAAACAGTGGCCCGCACTAACTAAACTAAAAATAGCAGAATTAAAACTGAGTAGGAGGCAACTATTCATAGAACGAGACACGTTAAGATAAATATACTGTGCCAGGGTGGCACTCTGTTTATTATAGTAACAAGGGACAAAGAGAGAGGCCCCACAGTGCTGGGGTTCACGGTGCCTTCTTTAGTCAAGGAAGACTTTAATGTTTTGGTTTTTGTTTGTTTGTTTTTTCTGATTCAATAAAATAATGATTTCTTTTTTTACTTTTTTTTTTTTGTAAAGAAAGAAGTTAGAGAGAAGAACACTAAAATTATGCCACTAGGATAAAAATCTCTTTAGTGTATCAGTGGCCATTCTTTCATGAATTTCTTATTCATTTATGTCTCTCTGTATAATTCTACATC